ACAATCATTAATTTAGATGCTCTTCAAACTGCCAATTTAAGACTATGGAGAAAATAAGAGAAAATACTGCCCAATTACCTCATAATACAGAAATCTCTCTGGATCATCAGTTAGCTATGTTCTAAGGTAGAGGTCAGCAATTTCTTTACTTCGTTCTGAAGGGAGTAAGCTTGAGCGCAGGCCTATGGCAAGAAGAATAAAGAAAAAAAAGAGACAAGGAAAAAAGGATGGGAGACAAGATGTCAGATGTATTCATTAAAGAGGTAGGTCAAGAGATACCAACTAATGTGCTGGAAACTGCCAACATATTCCAGCTGAATGAGAGTTGAGCAGAATTATGAGTCTAATAAATTACCTGAAGTTATCATTGTTTGAGCTAGTCAAGGTGAGTAGGTACTACCTGTTCCATAACTGCCACTTCACAAGGTCATCTTTTCTTAAATCCTCCTAGATGCCTTCTGTGTTAATACATCTTAAATCAAAACACATACTAAGAAGAGTATTTCTGTGTTTTGTACGATTCTAGAATACAAGGACTTGGTTACCAAACTTAGAGGCCTCCTGAATTATTAAAAGTAGACCCAAAATCAAGAAAATTCAACTCTAATTAAAATTTTCCCTATAAGATGTTATACAATTTAAATGGTTATCAGTAATCACCAAAATATGTATTCATGGAAACACAAAAATCTTGTGTCCAAGGTATGTAAAATATTTTTGGTCTGTAAGAAGCAACTTAATTTTTCAGAGGATCACCACCATGTTTCTATCTTATCAACAAAACAATTTTCCACAAGAGCAAAGGACATCAGGAAAAAAACATCAGGAAGGAGGGAGGAACCAAGTGGGGAGAAAGGAAGGAGAAAAGAATAAAATAGCAAACGTCAAATGTAGTATGAGACAAAACGAAAATGAATAGCTACCAGACTATTAAGGAAAATGTTTTAAACAACTGACCTTTACCCTATTAAACTTTCCTAAAAACATAAATTGTCTAGGCCAGTTAGCATCAAATTTGGTGGTCAGTTTGGCAGATGAAAGACAGAAAATTGTTGGCTTAAAACCAACTATATTTTTCACATTTCATCTGGTTGTTCAGCTTAAAATTATAATTCAGGCCCAAACTAGTTTAGATTATCTTCACTTAGCCCATAATAATGAAATGTCTGTTAAAGAAAGAGCCAAAATGGCCTCAGCCTTAAACTTAGGCTTGGTTTTAGAATCAAATAGCTTCATAAATATTAGTCAGCCTTTCTTAAAAATACACTGCAACTCTGCAAAGACTCTAATGCTGTTGACTAAAAACAGTAATTTTTAATAGTAATGATCACGTTAGTTTTATAATGTACTTAATTATAAATGGTCTAAATTTGGTTAACATGCAATGAAGAGAACAAAATATATAATGTGTGATTCAAAAAAGTTGTCAAAAATTTTAAAGGCAGATTCACAAAATCAGTGAATTACTTAATCAAATTGCTTAATCAAATCTAAAAATGTTCTCTATTTCACTCTCATGAAGAAATATATATATACATACTTGTATGTATATATATGTATATATATACACAAAACTGTTTTCAAAATCAAAGTTGCTAAAGATGCCCTTGTTTTAGCATTTTTTTCACATAGTAAGTAAAAGGTTATTCTAACATTCAAAAGACTTTGAAAAAGGAAGAAAGTCATTAGATTTGTTATCTCTCTTGGTGGGGAATAAAACATGTTCACATAAAAAAAAAAAGCTATGAAAGCTACCCGACCAATTTCAGAAAAAAAACTTATTCTAAAATCATGTGGAAATGTGTGTGGAGGTGTTAACATGAAGAAATGGGAAAATTGTAGAGAAGAGGGTAAGCCATACATGAAACGTAAGTATAAATTCATGCCCATGTTGGGGTTACCATGGTTGGCAGAAAACTGAAAATGTCATAATTAAAAAATGTGTTGTGGTAATGTTTCAGCATTTGTGCCAGAACAAAAACATTAAAGCACAGAAACAAAAATGAGTAACTCCTCCAAACATCAAGAAACCAGGAAGAAAAAAACATTGGCATACCATCTTTTTAAATACACTAAATCTGACTTAAAAGATTAGAGAAAGTGCCTGAGCCATTATACCCACCCAGATTCTCATTATCAACAGATTCATCATTTTTCCCCTCCCTTCCAACCCAAATTTAGTTGTTTTCCTGCAGAAAAAGAACATCATTCCTACATTAATAACAAGAAATGAAAACAGTGAGTACAACTGATATAGATCCATTGACTTTTATTACAAATGTACTTGATCACTTGGCTTCAAAAAATTTAAAATCAATACCCTATTTTCTATATGCCAGTACAAAGCAAACTGTTTTACAAATTAAATTCTAAAATTTGACAAAAATATTAAAATTTGATGAAAAACAATTATAAAAATCCTTAATCTTTCTCTTCAAAAAGGGAGGCAGTCTTCCCAGTTCTATCATACAGTATTAGTAATATTCACCATTTTTAGAATAGGTAGCTAAGTTATATTTTTATTAGCATAAAAACTCTTAAACTATTTTGTTTATGCTCGTTACGTTTGTGAATGTCATCTGATTGCAATATAATGAACTATTTTTAATTTAATTCTAATTTACATTTAATAATTTGCATAGTTTGAAAGGGATAAAGGTTATTCTACAACTAATTATGACAGGCTATTACAGTGTTATTTTTCAAGGCAATAAGTACTTGCTCCCAAATGAAATAATGTCTTCTTTAGGCAGGGGTTAAAATTATTAGCAGCTTTCTCCATTACCTGAAGTATCAGACTATCCACTGGTAGATATGAAGGCCTAAAAACAGTAACAAAAACAATATCCTTGCAATATGGAGTCAAATTTTAACCCCTGCATGGGACCACTAGAAAGTGAGACTTTCAAAATTTTAAAATTTCTCTGTTGGTTTTGGTTTTTACTTTCCATGGCTTTTGTGAAGCTGGAAAACAGTTTGTCATTCCTGACTAGCATTGTTTTCTTTTTTTCCCCCCCATTTGGCAAATATTCATGTACCTCCAATCTGAATCTAGTAGAGGAAAAGCCAGAATGGCTTTCCTTATGAACTTCCTTTGTTGTCAAAGGCATGTATGATGATTTCTACAGTTCTGGTTAGTTAACTTTAGCTCCCTCTGTGGCTGGATGACTGCTGCTTCTAACATCAGCACAATAAATAGGAGGCACAAATAAAAAAAATAGCTTAAAAAAAGACTCAGTGATTTTAAAGAAAAAAGAAACATGAATAACACCACACACACACACACACACACACACACACACACACACACACACACACACACACACACACACACACACACACACACACCAGCATTTCAAATCTGATGGCTGATCTCTGGATTAAATTACTTGACAGTGTCTCTCATTTTAAGAATGTCAATATTGTAATGCATTTCAAGTTTTCCTTTTTACTTAGGCAAATAACATAGTTTAACCAAGCTCTTAGACTTGAACTATAAGACAGAGCAGATCATTAAAAATAAGGCATTGTCAAGAATTAAGTTTTGTTTACTTATTTTTGGCACATTTGATCATACTGTCTTCTATGAATAACACATATGGTCAAATATACCTTTTTTTTTTCAGCACAAACAGGGTTTACCAACTAGCAAATAAAAACAAGGAGAAACTAACATAAAACACTGAGATATAGAACCTTGGTAAAGTACCGAGCACCTGGGAAGGGAAAGGTATTGGAAGGATGAAATAGGAGAGGGGAGAAGGGAAGGTTGGGTGATCGGGGGCGGGGGGTGGGGGGGGGTAAAATGAGATGCTTAAAAAAAAAAGAGCATCTTTACAGTCACTCAGTTTTTTTGTATGATCACTTCTTAGTCTTAAAGATCTGCATGTAGATTTCTTTTAAAACCCACTGACCATAAATCAATGGTTTCAAAATCCTAGTAAGATTGTGTTCAACTGTAATAGTGTAAAGACAACTGCACAATACATGTGCTTCTTGATCCGGTAGGATTCCAAGCAGAATCTGAAGTCTATAGATAAGTAAGGCTTCACTTTAGGTAACTGGCCCTAAAGAAAACCTCTTGAAAGAACTCACATCTCAAAGAAAGGACACTTTGCCTAAGTTTGCTGTGTTTTTGTTGACTTGCACTACTTATTGCTGGCTACTATGAAACACTGATCTAAGAGTACTCCAACAACCTGTAGTACAAGGCTTAACTTTAAGCTATAGTAAACAAGAGACAAAAATCAAAGCAATTCTCTTTCCTAATTAGCAACAGCATAGATAATGCAATCTTTTCCATATCACAGTTAAAATACAGTGAACAAAACAGCTCAACAAACCTTAAGACAAAAAAGTGCAGGTTATTAATGTATACATGCAATTGATAAGCATTCCAAATGTCACAATACGCACTGTAAAAGCTCAACTTTACTATATGGAAATAAGAAAAAAAAACGCACCTTTGGGGAGAGGGGGAAAGCAATTTAATCATTTCCAGTGATTTTGTAAGTAAAGAAACTCCTAACTATTGTAACGGTCACCTCATATTTAACATTGTATGAATATTAAAAGCAATGGGAAAATGCACAGTACAATGAAAATAGCTTGTTATTCAACACATACAGTAGATCTCAAAAACAAAGACAACATACTCAACCAGGGAGCTTAAAAATATCAAATCAAAACCCAAAGAACCAGCCAAAAAAAAAAAATCCTTCAAAAAGACAACCGTTTCACCTTCCTAGGCCAATGCTTTATAATGTGAGAAGCAGTGATACCTTCCCACTCTACAGGTGTTTCTTCTACATACAGCAGTTAGATCTATAATGGCTGGATTTGCCAAGAAACAATTCCATCCCCAGAACTCTCTGTCAGACAAGATCCAAGATCCTTTTTTTCTTTTTCTTTTTTTTACCAAAATACTTTCTACAGAATTCCAAACCAAAATGTACTGTTTAAGGCATCTTTTTTTATAACATTTTCTCTTCACTCAAAGATGATAGTCATGCAGCAGTTTAATGATAAAAATATATTAATATTTTACTATACAGCAGCAAGAAGTTAGTTGTCAATTAAAAGCACACAGACATCTTTAAATGAAAACCTGTAAAAGACTATCGTTACAAACAATTTCAGTTTGGAGGACACCAGCTTGGTAAAGTGCTCTCCTAAGCTTGCATTTTTATACCCTAACACTTTGAATATATGAGTTATAGAACATACTTTTGATAGAAGGCTTGTACACTTGGGGAACACAAATACACTTAGCATATAATGTAGCCAGTAATAACTAGCACCACAGCTACATGGAAATCCTTTACAAACACCAACTTGGCTTTCACTTTTAAAATGAAACTCAGAATCCATGGCTCAGTAGGATAACTATAATTGTGTTACTTTGCTTTTTAACAGGTCTACATAAGTTAATAGCACTGGCAAAAATCAAAAGATAGCTTCAGACCTCTTACAAGGTTAGGAGACAGTGCTAGTGACCACAAATAGACTCACTACCTGATGTCCAAATACAGGTTCACTGGAAATTGCTGCACGTTAGTTAAGTTTTTAAAATCTTTCTACACATAATAAAAAAAATATATTATGAACGATACAAGTACATCTCATATACACAATAATAACAAAACACCTACTCAAAGCAAACAGATGCAGAAAAATATGGGAGATTTCTTTTTCTTTCTCTTTTTCCTTTCACTATTTGAATAACTTTGGTTCCAACCATAAAAATCACAACTTAGCAAATTTCATTTAAATGCCTTTTTTAATAATTTCTTCATGTTCACAGAAGTTTCACTGACCATTTTTATGCTTAAGGTCCAGATGCAATGCATATTGTATAAAAGAGAGCACTTATTGTTTACCTTGCATGAATTAAACCTACGTACCTTTAACTCTACAAACTTCTGCATAACATTTAGACAAAGCTCAGACACACAGCATGCCTAGCCCTCGTATATATATACACATCTCTAATCACAGGTATATAGGGTGTCAAATATACTATAATAACCTCCATGTAAGGTTTGAAATTTGGTAACAAAATGAGAAAAACTAAAAATATTATTTTACGTGTTCTAAAATATCTCTTCTTTGTGCTAAAGTCAAATGTTAGCTCAACATGAAAAGGACTTTTATATAATTCAGCAATATTATAATCTTGACCATTTTGCAAACACTTTTAATAATAATAGCTTAAATGTGTACAAAAGTTCTTGGTTAATTAGGGAAATAAACACTCAGTTCTTTATATTTTTTAATCAAGTAGGAAACACAGTTCATATAATGTTATTACTTTTTGTATTTTTTTTGTTTTTTGTTTTTAGCAGCTGCTTACTGTTTTATATGGTGGATAAAGTGGACAACATCCAGCGATGGGTGGCAAGTCAAGAAGAGAAACTGTCAGTTGGTGGAGGTTCTGTGGGTGGTGCTCCCTTGGAGTTGAGTTTTTTTTTTTAAGCTTTTTAACTTTTTATTTTCTCTCTTTCTTTACAGTATATATTTTTCTGTGTGGCTGTGTGTGTGTATTTGTGTGTGTGTGTGTGTGTACGTGTGTGTGCGTGTTTTTCCATTCAGTTTGATCAATCTTCTTCCCCTTCTTCCTCACCCTGCAGTAGCAGGGTGGCAGCGGTGGTCTCCTCCTGCTGTTGCTGCTGCTGCTGGTGGAGCTGCTCACAGGCAGCCCGCTTCTCCCTCTGTTTCTCTTGAATCTTCTTCATCTCCTCCGAGTACTTGCAGAAGGTGTGTCCGAACTTGGCCCACACCTTGTAGGGCACGGTGATGGAGTTGCGGTAGGTGGGCTTCACCTCACTGACTCGCATAAACACGCCGTACTTGTTGGAGCCCACATCGAAGAAGAAGCGCTTGTTGTCCACAGTCAAGGAGGTGCCCTCGGGCAGCTCGGCCGGCTCCTCCTCCACTCCGTAGTCGTCGATGAGCTTGGCCAGAGCGTCACGGAACTCGATGAGCCCCTGCGCGGGCAGCGCGATGGTCTGGCCCTGCGTGGAGCCCAGGCCTGGCCCCCGGTTGACCGTCTGGCGGATGCGAAGGAAGCGGCCGCGCTGGTTCTCCTTGAGATCCATGTAGTACTTGCGGTTCTCGCGCACCAGGAACTCGCTCTTGAGCGCCCGGCGAGGCTCGTCCTGTGCCTGGGCCAGGTCTGGCGGCTGGCTGGGGCCCAGCTGCGCGTAGTGCTCGATGAAGTCGCCCAGGTAGTCGCGGAACTCCACGGCCACTGACATGGAGAGAGTGAGGCGGCTCTTGTTGCCGCCCGCGCCCACCTCAGCGATCTTCAGGAAGCGGCCCTTGGCGTTCTGCTTCACGTCCAGGTAGAAACGCTTGTTCTGGATGTCCACCCGCTTGGAGGCCAGCTCCTGCGTCTCGTGCTGCAGTCCCCCCGGGGCCCCGCCGCCACCGCCGCTACTGCCGCCGCCGCCGCCGCCGCCGCCGCCGCAACCCCCACAGCCAGTCAGCCACTCTCGCGAGATCTGCGGGAGAGACGAGACAGACGAGACCCGGTAACAGGGCACTGACTCCCCAGTACAGTAGCTGGGCGCCCTACTGTACGCGCCCACCCGCCCGCCAGCACGTGACCTGCGCCCCCTCCCCATGCCAGTCCCCTCACCCCTCTCGTCCCCACCCGCCAGGCGGCGCCCACCCGCCAGCCCTCACCCTACACCCCTCGCTAGAGGGAGGAGGGAGTGGGACGCGCCGCGTCGCAGCTCTGCTGCCACCGCAGCTACTGCCACCACCACCACCACCCTGGTTGTCGCTGTTGGCCAAACCCTTAGCGGCCTTGGCCTGGGGAGTTGGGGGACCAGGGTGAGAAGGCATCAGCCGTCCTAAGCACCAGGGACGGCTCTGGGCTCTGCTTTCTGGAGACCCTGGAGAGCATGGGGGGAGGGGCGTGCGCAGCATAGCAGAGTCCACTGCAGAGGGGACACCAAGTCACAGCCACCCCCTCCCTTGCGAGCCTCAACCAGACCCAGTCCCAAATCCAGACAGGCCCTCCCGCCACCAGGCTAGGTTGTCTCCTACCGCAGAACCCTGGCTGCTAAGGCAAGCGAGGAAAAAGAGGTGGTGCGGTGGTAACCCTTAGCTGCAGAGGGGGCTGCTGGGGAAGAGGACGGGGCGCCGGCAGCAGTGGCGCGGAGCAGCAGACACCTAGTCCGTCCCTCCCCTCTCCCTCCACTCCCCTCCCCGCGCAAGGCAGCCGCTCTGGCCTCAGATGATCCCGCTCCCCCCTCCCCCCAACCGCAGCCCCGCACAGTCGGGCGGGCGGGCGGGCGCACTCACCGGCGGGAGGGGGGGAGAAGCAAAGGGGAGGACTGTAGCCGCACCAGGGCCGGGGTGCCTGCAATGATTATTCAGTAGTCTCTGCCCTTATCCCAAATAGCAATAAAAAAAAACCCACACTCACCCCCAAACCTGCAACCAGCCCCTCTTGGGATCACAACTGCCTTCCTGTCTCCCCCTTCCTCCTTCTGAGATTTGGGGAAGGGGGGGCACCCTACTCTTGGCTGAGCCCAGCCTGGGTTGAAGACTAGCTCTGCGGATGAACCAGGCCCTCCTGAGCATTCAGACCCCAGCCCACTCATTCCTCTCTGGAAGGATCCATAAAGGAAGAGAAAATCATTCAGTCTTTTGGAAATTCATGAGCTAAAAATGTCAGGAATTTCCTGGGATACGCAGTTCCTTGCCGGATTCATTAAAACAGGTTCGCTCGACCCTTAAACTCTCCTCCCAGGACCTCTTAAATGTCGAAGAAGCCCCCATCCCCCAAAAGGTAAAACACTAAATGATCGCTACGTTTTCTTCAGACAACTAGGCTATCCACCATTAATTAACCAATGAGTCTTTGGATAGTGACAGCTAAAGGGGGTTATTTTCTGGTTATAGTAAAGAAGAGGCTGGGGAATATATTTTTTTCTTCCTAGAATGGATGCATAATCTAGGGCCTATTTTCCAATTCCCAGATAGGTAGCAAATATTCCCTTACTGCATATACCTAAAGCCCCGCAGATGTGGTAAAGCGAAGGCCTATTTCCTTAGGGGACCGCACCAAGGCCCCTCTATTCCTATAACCTGCAGAGGACAGGATACAGCCTTACTTCTGGCCTTTCCAACATTGAGTACTGTCACCCTAAGAGTGATTCCTATCAAACTTCTCTCCTTTCCCTCCCAAATGGAAGGAGCCTTAACTCCCCAACTCTTAGCTCCAGAAACAAATGAATACATGGTTGCCCCCAAAAGAGAACAGTCAAGAAACTTAAGAAGTCTAGGGATATATGCCTTATCCATGCCCGAGTACTCAAAGCCCCTTAGTAAATTATTTTATTTTTTGTACAAACGTGTCTGCTAGGCATTTGTGTCTTCCCTATTTTCTTAGCAAAAGTGTTACTCTACTCAGCATTAGCTACTTTATACTTTAGTTCCAGGCTGAAAGTTCATTACTTCCTACTATGAGGAAAAAATAGTGTAGAGAATACAGGCCACCAAAGAGCAACCTGGAGGATGAGCCTGCCAGCCTCAGAACCAGGTGCCTGTGTCCAGTGGTCTCTGAAACGCTTGCTCTCCAAAGGGAAACTCACTATGAGAAACAGAAATCCAAACTCTGGGCCCCACAAAGAATTTCTGTTTAATTTGAGGGGCAACTCTAGTACTACATTGAGCACCTTCAGTGCTGTTTTCCAGCACTTCCTCCCCCTATCCCCGTCTGTTGGAAGAGAACACAAATTTTTGGACTATTTCCTACCCCAGAAAAAAAAATAAATGTATTAAGTGGCAGTGTCTCCTTTAGGCTCATGCAGCAATCGGAACCCTGGATAGACCCCAGACTCTCCAGAGGCTGAGTGGCAGCACATCTGCATAGAGCAGAGCCGGTCCCACTGTCAAACTAAAGCTAAGATCTGATGAAATCCAACCTAGAAAGGATTTTGCTCTTTTTCAAGGGTTTATTTTGCAATGAACCAAAACCCCTGCCCCATAATGAGCTCAGAGTAGCAAAGAGGCCAGTGAGATTTTTGATGAAAGGGCTGCCCACCTCTAGTCCCACACCTTGCTGATGATCAAGGCAGCAGGGATAGAAGTGTAGGGCTCCAAACTACCTGCCTTTCTGGTCTGGCTTCCATAGTTTAAATTTCTTGCCCTCTGTCCCAAACATTTATGTCCAAGGGTTTGGAAGCAGTTTTACTGTGCCCTGGGAAGAAATTTTATTATAATCAGGAATTGACTTCTTAGTTCCCCAGCGCAGAGGCAACTGAAGTTTCAAGACAGAACTGTTAAATATCATTTGCACAGTTGATATGGAAATTTTAAGCGAAAGTGGGTAAATGGGTAAGACCTGGAACTCTTTAGGTAAATATGCAATTATTTTATCCGTCTATATATGTACTTTCTGCCCATATATTCCAGCTTCTCTCTTTCATATATGTATCTAAAAAATATATAAGGCTAATACTCCCTTTTCCAGATTAAAAGATAGCATTTTTTTAACTACAAACAAGAGGTATTAATTTCAGTATTAACCGAGGAGTGTGGCATTTTTCTCAGACTTCTTAGGTAAAAATTGCTTTCCTTACCCTATTGAATGTAGTTTTAAAATGCAGTCTGGGAGGAATGAATATTAACTGGAAGAAAAGTCTTAAAACTGAAAGTTTAGAACTTTAGAATTTCAAAGTTATAGTTGCATCCTAACATTGAAAATCCATAAGAAAATATTTGTATTTAAAAAGGATTTACCTATTTGTGAATTACCTAAATAGTACACTAACCTGATGAGTGAAAAACCTATAGGTTAGCTGTTTTTATTTGTTACTTTAAGACCATTATTTGCAACACTAAATTTACAATTTCATTACAATGTAGGAGAGTAAAAGAGGAAACGAAATTTGTAGTAAAATATCCATGTTAATGAAAACTCATAAAAATGTTCTTTTCCTCAAAATGTGCTTGCTTATAACCTGATAAAGATGTCTGGGTTTCCTGAGCTCTTTTATTAACACTATTCACATATTTTGATGAGTCTAGAGCTCATTTATTTTTCATTCTACTATGTATTTAACAAATCCCTACCCACAAAAAATTTGCACAAAGAAACAGGTAAAAGAAAAAAAAGTACTAAATTTTCTCAACCTAAATTACAGGTGATTCTGAAACAATATAATTCTACCTTGTTTTTTAAAGTAAAAATCAATACACATCTCTGAAACATCTGGAGAGAGCATCTCTCAGAAACAATGTTTATGAATATTTTACAAATGCACAAATTTCCAAAATAAAAGAGAATGTTAGAACATGTTGTGTCTCAAGAGTTACTTGGGTTAAAACAGACAATTATCTTCAATACCTAAATCATTAAAACTAACCAGAACGTTGTTCTACAAATATTCAAAGTGGAAGAATTACCCATTTTTTTTCCATTCATGGCTTTCTACCAGGAAACTTAAAGGAAACTCTTAAGTAAATCTTAACATTTGACATAACATCAACAGTAACATCTCATAGTACCAGCATTTCATCAATCATTTTTAAAAACATGTTCCTTTTTATAGCTCACCTATTTTGAAAATTATGCTTCCTTAATGCTATATTAATGTTTAAGGATTAAAGATATGAATTAAACATGTAAAATATGAAGAGAACAATTCATTCGATAGAATCTTCGAGTTTACCAAATATTTTGTTTAAACATTTGCAAAATAGTTAAGTAATTTTGGCACACATTCTAAAATTCACAAAAGAATCAGAGAACCCAACATTTTACATATCCTCAAAGGTCCAAACAGAACCGATTCAAATGTCAAAAACTCTTCCAAGGAGATTTAAATGGTTTTACTAGTATTGTACTCAAAGCAATGAAAACAGCAACTCTCTCCACACTCTAATCAACACTAATTTCCAAAGCCACAATTCGCTTGGGCGGGGGCTGAGGGAGTCTTGAAGTAATCCACAAATTTCCTTTTCCTTCTGACAGTTTACCAAAAGATGTCAAACCAAATCCAACCAAATCTATCCTGTTGTAACACTCACACGGACCTCCCTTCCAAGGACACGGGCCACAAGCATAGATACTGATGCGAAAAGCTGTCCAAAAGCTCCTGGCCCGACAGAAACATGAGTGTCCCAGAACAGAACAGAGTAAAATCATCAAGACTGTCCCGCAGAGACGAGGGAAATGAAGATAGCATTTATTCAGGGGTTCACGGCTACGAAACTAAGTTACTTAGCCAGTGTCTCCGGGCCTCCAATCTACCAAAGTTCAGGTTTATGGCCGTTAAATCTGTGGGGTCCCTTCCCCTACAAACATCACAGCCCACGTCTGGGCCCACTGTCCTTCAGAAGGAAGACTCTACAGCTTCACATACCTTTCTTTTACCCCCCCCACCCCCGCCCCCGACAAAGGCAGAGGAGGCTGCAGAGCTGACCCAGCCCCGTGGGGCAGTAAAACTGCCTTATTCGCGCCACCCATCCTTGGGCCTGACTACATCTGCGATGTCAGCGCAGATTTTATTTTGCCTTTTTTTTTTTAACAACGCATCCTGGGCGGGGTGTATGCAATTTGGAGTGGGGGGTGTTCAAAGAGCGGGGGGGGGAATGTAATATATTCTTTAAAATCTTCCTTCCTCTCCCCTCCTTCCAGGGTGGCCTGAAGGGAGTGTTGGCTACGTCTAGCGCACAGTCCCAGGCCCCGCGGTTTAGGGGAAATGGGGATCAGAGATTACTAAGAAAACTGCATCATTGACTGTCTACAGCGCCTGCAGTGGTAGCCTCCCAAACCGGCGGGGGGGGGGAAGTATTTTGTCCTTTATAAGAGGTGGAAGGGGGTTCATTCCTACGTCGCTGCCAGGAGCGCGGCGGGGGGAGGGGGGAGGAAGGGTGGAAGGCGTTGCTGCACCGCCTGGATCCCCAAGAGGGAGGGTGCGGGGATGTCTGCAATGGTACCACGGTTACTCTTGGGCTGAGAGGGCAATTAGAGGGAACAGGATGGGTAGCACCTCGAGCTGTGGCAGTGGCAGCACGGAAGGTCGCGAGGGGCTTACCCGGGCCGAGCGGGCGGGCGCTGTCCTGCCGCAGGTGAGGGAGGGCGCAGGCTGGAGGGAGGGAGGGAGGGCGCGCGCGAGGCCGGCGCTAGGCTGGCGAGAGGAGGGGTGGGGGGGGAGGGGAAGAGGGCGCGCGCGCGCACACCTGTCCTGGACAGCGGCGCGAGCGGAGCTGCGCCTCAGTCGGGCTCCGCAGACTGAGCAGGGAGGGGGGCGGGCGGGCTGGCTGGCGGGGGCGGGGCGCCGAAGGGGAGGAGGAGGAGGCGGCGGCTCGAACGGCGGCTCGGCTCTCGCTCGTTCTCCCTCCCGCGGGCAAGCCCGGCTCTCACCCTGCTTCTCCCGCGCACTCACAGCCCCCTTAGGCTCTCCCTCCTCCTCCTCCTTCCCCAGCGGGAACCGCTCGCCGCCGCCGCCGCCGCCGTAGACGGCAAGTCGTGGCAGCCAGACGTCGGCGCGTAACCCGGCGCTCCGTGCGTGACTCCCGGCGACGTCAGCGCGCGCTCCGCGCTCCCCACCCCCTCCGTGGCCCGCGCCTTCAGCTCTCGCGTCCCGGCGTTTCAGTTGTTGCCGCGGCGGCCGCCGCCGAGCGCGCTCCCTTCCCTCTGAGTCGCGCGCAAGTGCGCGCCCTCTCTGCCGTTGGCGCGTCAACATCCCGCTGACCGGGGGGCCTGGGGCGCGACTGAGGAAGGGGCTGTCGGGGTTTTGGCCGCACTTGTTTCACCGGAACGCCCAGGGGAGGACCGGCCTCCCCTCGTTGGCCATCTGAAGGCCCAGGCCAGGCTGAGGCCGGGATAGAACCCTGCGGGGCCTGCGCCAGCTCTGACTTAGGGCCTCTGCGTCGCTGCGGCTACGGCCACCATCTCGTCACCGCGCCCCCCTCCCCCGCCCCAATCCATCCCGAGGCAGTGGGCCTTTCATCTCCCGGGTGGGTCTCACCTTGGCCTTCAGACACCCGCGGAGAGGGGATGGACGGGCAGAATTAGCTTGAAGAAGAAGGGGCCTGACCGCGCTCGGCTCCAGCTCCAAGAATCCTTGACAGGAAGTGTGGGGTTGCTGCCCAGCCTCCCACGCTCCGTAGGTGAAGCTGGGCCCCTTTGAGGGAACGTGACGAAGGACAAAACCCTGATAAATATTAGATGCGTCCTGAGGCAGAGAGGGACCGAGTAAAAGGGCTGAGTTAATGGTCATGGATTGCTATGCAAAGACAAAAATGCAGAATAACGTGTCCTTTACAACAATTTTCTGGATCTCACTGACACAATTTTTTGGTGCACAGTAACTTGTTTCTCTACGCTGTCACCTCTGAATCCTGCAACACATGAAGTAAGGTGGGTCAGCTAATAAGCTGCAAAGTAAATTTAAAAACTACCTTCACCATTTGTTGTAATTAAATGGATCTCCAAGAAGTCAGTTATTTAGAAAAACGAAGACACTACCCTTAGCTTCAATAACTTTTATGTCGACCTTACTTTACAGATACACCACAAAACACCCCTTTTATTAGGCAATAGTACTTTAAACACGTATTAATCTTCCAACAGGTTTATCCTGTGAAGCAAAGTAGGAATGGGTTGTGATTAGCACCCCCCCCCCTTTTTTTAAAGAAAAGAATTTGAGTTACCAAAATCAGTGTGAAGAATTTCTAGGAGACTGCCATGGATGAGAGAAAGCCTGGGTCTGTAATTTATCCACTTAACCAGAAACCTCTCAATTGTCATCAAGCATCTTTTGATGCCTTCTCTTCTATATTGTAGTCAGTGATTAGTGGCTGGAAGAATCGCAGAGAACTACACATTGTTGCTTTTGAAATTCTGAGCCATAGAAATATGACATCTTAGTAATCAGTTGTGTAACAATTCAACTTATATTCTTAAAATGTTTATTAAGCCTCAATTAGAGGTCCGTTTGAGACTGATTTAAGTGTAATGGGTCATTTCTTTTAAATTACTTTTTTATTCACCTCATCTTTAGGTGGCAGCATTACTATATAAATACCTTTAAAACTACAGTCTTCTGCAACTTGATAGCCTGAAGAGTACTTGGTCTTAAATGCATCCAACTGTATTGTGAAGATGATACGCTGGTGAAAATATAAAATGGGAGCTAAGAATTAGAATATGAGATTCTAGGGGACCCAGCATAGAAATGCTACCCAGAGATATTAATGAAATACATGAAGCTACTGAAAGAAAAGGTTAGAAAGTTAAAAAAAAAACTATAAGAAATAACTATCTTTAAAAATCGGGTCTCCTATTGAAATATAACCTCCCCAAACCGTATTTTCTCAATAAGCACTTATAAGTTTATAAAGTTGTTGCGTTCTAACTGCAATTTTTAAATTTAGATGCAATTTTTTTTTCATTAAACAGCATCAAGCTTATGGAGATCCCATATAGGACTTACACTGTTGATCCTGTTGAAAAGAACTCTTCTTGGCCTCTTTTCTGGCTTTCCTATATTATTTATATACAAGTAGACTACAAGAGAAGTGAGAAAACACGTTGAGCCAGATGTAAAACAGCATTTTGTAGGTAATTCTATAGCTGTATTTCTCCACATTTTGGAGGATAATAAATTGTAATACATGGTAGTTATTTAGACCAATTGTTTTCTAAACAGAACTTTGTCTTAATTAATTGTGTGTATTTATAGTAGTTCTCCCTGCACCCCTATCCAAGTAGCCCAGTAAATTGAATTGCAAAATATACTACACTTGATTTATCATGTAAATACAACTACAAAGGAACACAAATGTATGACAACGAGTGGAAATCAAATTATTATATTATAACTTATTTATGAGTAAAGGGTTAAAATTTTTTAGTGACAGCTTCCATCTTAAGTCAAACTTGGAGGAAGAATCTCAAGTGAATTGTTAGTTCTCAAACTTAGCAGTATTAGGTTAAGATTTTTAAAGCTCTCTGGTGCCAGCAAATCATGCAGCCCAGGGGGCCCTTACTCCAAACTTCTGCCAACACCATTTTGGCAGTAAAATGTTCTGTTGAACAAAGTTTGCACGTGTTTAGGGTGTGAAGTGGTTCCTCAGGCATTTATTTGGTTTTATTCCAGTTTAGGGCCTTGACGACAAGGGTCAGAAGCATGAGACTTAACAGAATATATATATATATATATATATATATATATATATATATATATATATATATATATATATATGCCCAGAAACAGACTATACAAGCAATCTTGAATTTTCACTTAGACTAAAAATGGCTTTTTCTTTGTATAGAAGGATCTTTTAATTTACATCTTAAATACTAACATGATATTGAACCAGCTCTTATAAGCAGGTAAAGGCCTTCTCTATGGCGGCTGCAGAACTGGGGAAAATCATTCCTCCTCGTCCTTCCTCCAACACCACATTCACAAACTGCTTTGTTAAATGGCAGCTCCTTTGTACAGGTACTTAAAGATAATTAAAAAAAAAACCAAATGTGTTTATTCAGATGGAACAGCAATATACCACTTGACTTCAAAGGCACCAATAATTATTTAAGCTTGGTCTCATCTGTCAATTTTTTTCATAATTATGTGTCTGTGATTATTTTTGGTATTATCTGGTAAATCATTTTGGCTCTTCTCTGTCGTACTGCCGGTTAGTGACACCTGGCCCACAAATATATGCTAAATTGTCTTATTACAAGGATTCCTTAATGGACTGGAAACACTTAAAATCGCCATTTCCATTATTTTGTCAGGTAAATCATAAATCTAACAAAATATTTGCAGAACTGGGATAACCATGAAAGTGTTACTGGCTTTTTAAATTGTTGGTTTTTGTGTTTTGAGGTTGGTTTTTGTGTATGGCCTACATTGGCTTTGAACTTAGTCCTCCTGCCTCAACCTCTTGAGTGGTAGGATTATGGGATTATAGGCATGTAATACCACATTGGGCACTGCAGTATTTTTAATTTTTGTTTGGGTTTTTTTCGCCAGTGTTAAGGCTTGAACTCTATACCTCTTGATCATGCTTGGCTTTTTCTGCTCACAACTTGGTGTTCTACCACTTGCACCAGGCCTCCAGTTCTGGCTTTTTGCTACTTAATTGAAGATAAGATTACCCAAACTAGCTTGGAACCATGATTTTGAGATCTTAGATTTTCAGACCTCCTGAAAATAGCTATGGTTATATAGGTGTGAGCCACTGACACCTGGCTGAAGTATTCTTTTTCATTGTTTTTGTTTCATCTTCCAATGAAGAGTCATGGAAAGAAAAACATAATTAACAGTAATAAATTTTGTAGTAATACCATTGTCTTTATTATTGTCTATGGAATATCAATGTGAGCTACAAGTCTGGTCATTTACAAGTGGTAGTTATTCTTGGTACTTTTGCAAAGATCATGTCCTAACTACTTACTTGCAAATCTTTGTTTTCTTTCCTTCTGTTTAAAAGTAACAGAAAAATACAAGCAAACAGCTAGGCAATGGTGGCTTATACCTGTAACCCTAGCTACTCAGGAGGCTAAGATCTGAGGATCATGGTTCTAAACCAGCCTGGACAGAAAAGTTCATGAGACTCTTTATCTCCAAATAACTACCAAAAAGCCAAAAGTGGCACTGTGGCTCAGTGTTAGAGGGTTAGTCTTGAGCAAAATGCACAGGGAGAAGTATCCAGGCCCTGAGTTCAAACCCCAGGACTGGCACTTGTTGTACTCTCTCCCCCCCCCCCTCTTCTGTCTGTCTGTCTTTTCTCTCTCTCTCTCTCTCTCTCTCACACACACACACACACAAATACAAGCAAATGAAAGGTAATTCAGATATCAGAACTAACAGATGAATGAGATCAGATGTAGAGAAACTAGCTGAAGATCTCTTAGAACTGGAAAGCATTATAGAAATTGTTGTTTCACATTCTGTGGTGACTACAAATACTTATAGTCAAGGGTGGGCAATGTCCAGCCCAAGAGCCACATAAAGTTTCCAAAAATCAATTGATAGAAGACTGGACAGACAACATTCTTGTGGGTTGCCTATGTCCATCTGCCTATGGATACTTTTTTTTTTTTTTTGGCGGTCATGGGGCCTGAACTCTGGGCCTAGGCGCTGTCCTTCAGCTCTTCAGCTCAAGGATAGCTAGTGCTCTACCACTTGAGCCACAGCACCACTTCTGGCTTTTTCTGCTTATGTGGTGCTGAGGAATGGAACCCAGGGCCTCATGCATGCAAGGCAAGAACTCTACCACTGAGCCACCTTCCCAGCCCCTGCCTGTGGCTACTTTTTATGGTCCTCAAATGATGTCAGAAATACCCAAGTGGTCCTTGGTAGATAAAAGGTTCCTACCCCTAATAGACTATCAATGTGCTAGTTTATTACTTGAATTGTCATTCAGCCAGATGCCACTGTCCTCCGAAGCTAATTTAGACCATTTTTCTTTAATCTGATGTTGTATTATTACTTTGCAATTAGATGAAGATTAGTAGAATTCTTTCCCCCTGTAGTAAGTAAATTATACTAGAGTCAATCACAAGAATAATCAAAGTAAAAAGGTAAAAAGTAGGCACCAGTGACCCACACCTATAATAGTAGCTATTCAGGGAGCTGAGATCTGAGGACTGTGATTCGAAGCCAGCCTGGACAGGAAAGTCCACAAGACTCTTACCTCCAATTAAACACCAAAAATCCATACATGGAGC